TCACAACGTGTTGGCAAACTTACAAAAGAAACAATCTGAATAACATTGTCTGAAAGCAATACCATAAAAAGCTACAGAAAGGCTAAATTTCGATAGAGGGAAGCTTCGAGAGTAATTCGCTGGCACCTTGGAATTGCATCACCGGCACTTCACGTCTTTCGTAGTGCAATTCCATCTCTTTGCTCAGTGAATGCCTCGGGATCAAAGCGTAATTTTCAGGCTTCAGAATTCTTCAAAATATAGTCGATTCACGCTTGGCTGACAGGAGAGATGATTCAAACACATCTTTCGCAATTTAAGCATAAATTCAAAAGTTTGCAAACTGTTTATGTCGCGTCCTTTAAAAGTATATTTTTCCTGCTATTTATTTTGAGAGGAAGTAGTGAGACATAAGTAGTTTTGAGATTTAATTACGATGCAGTTGCTGTTTTTCCTCACTGCCGTTTCACTCCATGTAATTTCAAGCTCTTGACAATCGCAAAGAAATTTTTAATTTAAAATTTCATCAAGATGGCACTTTTCTACTTTAGGCGACTGCAGTTGGGTCGATTTTACATTGCAGATGGCTTGCTGTTAATAAGCGAGTGTATAGACTTGAGAGTCTTATTTGTTTCTAAAAGAAACTTTGACGTCAAGATGTCCAATATACTGACTAGCTTCTCAAAACATTTAAGAGAAAGCTGAGCACTTCTCCTTTGTTAATTATCGTTTCTCGTATTTTAATTTTTCATTAGTTAGACTTCTGTGATTCTTTAATGGTAATAAGTACTTGAAATAAAATAATTTCTTCAGATGAGTGCTATGTATAAATGTAAAGGGAAAAACGAAGCAATTATAATTAAAAAGTACGTACCTTGTGTATAACACGCAATTCTTTACATTCTAAATTTATTTTGAGGTCACTTTTCCTTTGAATATTTTCATAACGATGATTATCCAAAATTTGAGATATAATTATTTAATAATTCGGTGCTGGTAAAAGTTATAGGTTTATAAAATTTAAACGTCATAATAGGCCTAAAGTAAAATCCATTTCATTTACACTCTGCACCATTAGCAGCCTAATCTTCAGTGGGTTTGGTAAAAGAATTCTTTTACTTGAAATGCTACTATTTTGTATCTTTCAGGTTTAAATATTTCTTGCTTTAAGCATGGAGTTGAATATTGTTTGTATAGAAATTTCAATTGTTTTAGTTTTATCGGAGAGTCTAAGTTTAGTACTAGATTATTTTAAACTGTAACTTATAGTTAAATTTTAATGTTCTTCATATTTAATTTGTGTGCCCTTTCTACAACACTAGCTTTACTTGCGAAATGATTAAACGGATTTGATTTAAGTAAACATATACTTTTATTTAAAATTAACCTAAGTTCAAATAGACAGAATGGTATTTAACCATTAAAATAACTTGCGAAGAAAAATTGCCAAGTATATATTGAAAACAAAAATTAATTTCAGTAGCATGGGTTTATGATTCTAGATAAACTGATTATCCTTGGCAGCTGGAAACTTGAAAAGTGTTTAGAGACTAATCCCTTTATTCTAAGGCTTTAATAATAAGTCCAAAGAACAGTTAAATTACCCTTTTATTCAACTCAAGATTATTTACAGTTTGCCCCTTTCGGGCTTACAGGAAGCTTCCACTTGGGTTTTAGCTAAGGTCGAAATAGTCTAACCAGAAGGTAGAACGCGCTCTACTAAGAATTTCTAAGCTCTTCTACTGAAGTGACGTACACTTCAGCTTAAATACTAGTTCTATCTCATTTACATAAAACGCGATCCTGAAAACTCATTCTGGGAGGATTGGATTGGATTGGATTATTCAGTTATGGCAAAGCACACGAGGGCTATCTGCCTAAAGGGAGGAATGCCTTTCGTGGAGGACTTTCTAAGGGAAACTGGCTCGTATACACGTTACACATGGGGAAAACCACGAAAACGCCCATGCAGCCAGCCCGTTCGCGGGATTCGAACCTCAGACCGAACTACCAGTGTTCAGCGTCTTTACCGCTCGGCCGCTGGTGGGCCCATTCTGGGAGGAAACTGTAGGTGAGAAAATGAGAAATTAAAGGAAAGCTTAAAAAAATAAAAATGACTGTTAGGAAATTAAAATAAACTCCTCCAAGAACAGAAAATAATATTCCTTTGGTAACAGAAATTTAAAAAAAAAGTGCTTTGACTTTTATCTTAAAGGCTCAGTGTTTATATTGTATACATATCTTAAAGGCTCAGGCTTAAACTCACTTTACACAGTATCATTTTAAACATCACCGATGAATTAATTAAGATATTCAAACTGATGTTTCGCGTGCCTAAAACTCTAAAACGAACAAACTGAAGTTTTGTTCTTAGGAATGTTTCGTTCAAATTTCATTGAAATATCATGCAATGCAGCCGTTATGGATTTTTAGATCTCTGGGATCTCATTTACAGAAAAAAGCATTAATAAATGTGCCTTTTTTAATTTTAAAATTGATAACAAAGATTTTCCCTTCTTTCGTTAATAGACATTTTTACAGCACAGCTAATGGCATTATTCTTTTAATTAAGTTTATAAATCTGGACTGACGTCGTTCTATATCTCTTAATCTGTGTACACTTCTCATATAATTATAACTTGATGAATCCGACTGATTTTTCTTAATTGTAATGCTTATTAGTTTAATATAAAATTATTATTTTAATAGTGTGGTGTGGTGTGTGTGATTATGGCAAAGCCTCGAGGGCTATCTGCCTTAGGGGAGGGATGCCTTCGTGGAGGACTTTCTAAGGGAAACTGGCTCGTATACACGTTACACATGGGGAAAACCACGAAAACGCCCATGCAGCCAGCCCGTTCGCGGGATTCGAACCTCGGACCGAACTACCAGTGTTCAGCGACTTTACCGCTCGGCCGCTGGTGGGCTATTATTTTAATAGAAATAAATCATTGAAACTGCTTTTTAATAGAAATCTGGAATAGCTCAGTAACATTATCTGTAGACATACGTAGACAAGGGCAAGTTATTATGCAGCCTCAAAGAAATCTAAAAACAAGAATTCATAAAACCAAATTCACGCGTCAGCCTTATAATCCTACATTTCAGCCTCAGTATAAAACAAAATACAGTTTTGACAATCTAATTATAGCGTATATAAAATTATAAAGTATATAAAGTCTTAACAAATTACTTTTTCTCTCTAATTTGTAAATAATTAGTGTTTCCACAGTGGGTAACTTAACCGTAGTTGACCATTTCCAAATGAACCATTACCCAGTCTCATTTATTATGAAAACATTTAAACGACTTGATATTGTAAGAGATGATAATTTTCCTTTATCGCTGATACAGCTTTAATTTAAAGTTTTTAAAAAGACTCGCCAATGAACATCAACTGCAAGACATTGCAAAAACCATCAACAATCAGAATGTTCGTTTCCCTTAAAAATCTCATGAATATAATGTACGTTATGAAAACATTTAACTGTTCTTATACATTTTAGTTAAATTTATAAGTGTCCGTGTAATATACATTCGTGCAGTGTACATTCATTTAGTTGTACAATTGTAACTTTTTATTATGTTAACGTAGCCAGTTTTTTCATGCTTTGGATCTTTACTGTCACCTCTCCCAAACGGGTTCTCGTTAGAATGCAAATTAGTTCTCGTGTATTTAAGCCGAGGCTTTTACACTGTAACTCATAACGTGTTCTGCCTCTCTAAGCCACGTTACTAGGTTGCTTCAGATAAGATCAGGTCTTCGGTTTGCATTATAATTGCCGGAATTTGAATATCTATGCCGGTTAGATGTTGTACTGATAATTCAGTACAACTATAAAATTTAAATTCGCTGTTAGTCTATCTAGACAGTGGTTCCAGTTCATGATAGTCAAGAATATAATCAAATTTTAGACGATCATATTTCATTCGCATATTACATCTTGAAAGTATAGTACGCGTTTATATTCCATTACTCATTGCGTGATTAAAATTATAATTTAATTGCATTGAATTATTTGTACTACTAAAATAAAGTAAATATTCTTTTGAAAATTGTCGCTTATATGCACAATAAAGTATAAAAGAAAGCTTTTTTATTTTAAAATGCTATGAAAAGTCACTGAAATAAATTATGAGTCACGAGGAGAAATTAAATTAAAATTAAATTAATGGTTTAAGTATTTCTACGATTTTACTGAAAGCAAGCAATTCACAAATACAGGGATTTGCATAAAATAATTCCGTAATATGAAATGTTAATAACAAAATATCGAAGACATAATGTAAGGTATTTTCTCCTCCGTTTCTGCATGCCTTCGTAGTGTAATTGGAAGCATACTCGGCGCTTTAACGTTGACAAAAAAGACTAGGAACGACGGTAAATCGAGAGCAGTTAGCGAGGATAGAGCGAATAGCGAAAAGGATCAGGGGAGTCGTGGGATCGAAAAAATCGACTCAATCAAACGCTAATTCCCTGAACTAGTTTTTTTCAACTATAGTTTGAGATTCCTTAAATCCGCCTTTCTACATAGAACTAGAAATAAAAATTATATTTTTTAGAATAAAAATGTTTCAGAAATATGTGAAAAAATAACAATTAAACTCACTTTTCTCCTCCAAAATGGGAGGGCACTTCCGCTCTTTTTCGGCTCCAATCAGGTGTTCGCTCGCTCTATAAAGTGAATCAGTTCGTGAAAAAATAACAGAAATATCCCTGGCTCGCTTTGAACGAGAGCTGTCTGTGAATCGTGAAAGAACCACAACTCCGCTTTGTGGTGTGAATTCTCGCTCAATAATGTGAATGAGTTCTTTGAATCATTTTCGGAGTGGATCATCCAACTCTAGTTCTTTTTCGCATAAAACAGGACAGACCAAAGCTTCTATAGTTTCTACGAAATTTAATTTGCTTATCAACGGGCCCATTTCAGTTATTATTTTTTAATGCCAGCAAATCTACATTTAATTACATTTTATACTTGATTAAATATTCTAAAGCTTTATGCTTTGCATTTTCACAGGTGACTGCAGATGTTGGCAAAGATGGCTGTGTCCGAACAAAACACACGAGGATTATGGGTGCTTGCTCTATACCGGAAGTTCACTCTGTGCGCGTGGAAGCTTGTTCTGGAGAAAGCAGCGACGAATGCTGTTATGTCGAAGTGGATCCGAGCAATGGTCCAAAGCTGACTCCAATGCCTAGTCCAGCCAAAAGTGACATGGCAAGCTGTGGTCCCCAGACCGAAGGTAAAGACGGCCGAAAAATGGTCTACCAGAGGTGCGTCGTAGTTTGAAGAGCTGATGACGCACCATTAAGGTTAATGGAGTTAATGCTTAATAGATGTTCATCTAATCCAGGGCTCCCAATAGGGTCGATATTGACCTCCTGGGGATAGGAGAAATTTTAAAGAGGGTCAGTTAGGATCAAAAGCTCGATAGCCGAATCTGCATAAACAATTGATCGATATAATGAAGATCCCATTGATTACGCAACCGAAATTATTGATATTGTAAAATTATAATTTATTTATTATTGACATAAAGCTATATCACGTAGTAAAGAGGAAACCATGTAAAATAAAAATAGGGCAAAATACGCAAAATTTATTTAATATATTTTTTGAACAAAATAATTATTTTTTAAACCATGTAAGATCTTTAGGTAAAATTTGCAGCATTAAAATAAGTAAAACGCGAAACGCAAGAAAATACAGCCTTCTCACCTCCACAAAAATATGAAGAACGCCAAATTTTCTCAGAATATCTATTAATATGTACGAACCACTTGCAAATTATAAGAGGAAATTTTAAATTCGGTTGCAAGACATTGAAAATTTTAGTGTGTTAGCATGGCTCACAGAAAACTGAAGAGCTATATATTTGATTTTGACATTATAATGCAAGAAGAGTTGATTGCCTTAAAGGAGATTACCAAGCACAAGCCATATTCAAAACATGTGTACATCTTACGTTTTGGAATTTGAAAATTATTAGAGAGAAATTTCCCCCAAAAGGTTCATAACCGAACAGCATTATTGACTTTCCTCTTTTCTTACCTAGTATAACATTACGTTTAATAAACCATTTTTAAGACTATTCTTCAGATTCTTAGTCTAATCGTTATAGTGTATATACTGAGAAGAAGTGATATACAGGAAAGGAAAAAAAATGCCGTTATTTTAAAACAGGTAGTTGCAAGAAAATACTTACACCTGGAATACCTGGTCTAATCGATAACAATGCGTTATACTCCTACTACATTTAATATAAATAAAATAAATATTTTGCGTAAAATATTTTGTATAAATTGTTACGGCAGTTTAAGTAGCAAAACATTTCATTACTTTAAATAATTTTTAGTATGCTTGAAACTAAAATAGAAAAAGACGCGAAACGAGATCCGAAAACTATTCGTAATATTTAGAACTGACGGAATACGGAAAGAATTGCATTAATAAACATACTAGTTGGAAACATTTTTGGTCTTCTTTATTGTTGCAAGGCAATTTCTTCAGTAATCCTCACGGACATGTATATTTTCTCTCTAGTGGCAATCGGTGGAAATTTCTGCGAAATTATTCTATCCAGATTAACGTAACTTTATTGTTACTCCTGTTAATTTAGGTAGTCGACTTGTCGATGCCATAAAGTAGACCATAAATGTGAAATATTTGCCTGAGAGGAAAATGTATTTATTTCCTTGGATGAGAAAATTATTCTTTTTTTGCTGCATTCATTAATATTTCCTTACTGAAAGCCAGCATTCTTGCCAGAATTAAACAAAGAAAAACATAAATATCTATAATTCTACAAAATGTGCCACATATTTTCCTTCTTATTTTAGATAATTTATTAGATAAGCTTCTAGTTGAAATTTAATAATTCTATGCGCTTTTCTTCTCTTATGCATGTTTCCTTACAATCAAAGTCCAATATGCGCATTACCTGGTGCGAATGAGGAAAACCTTAGAACCTTTGTTTCGTAAACTAAAGTAAAAGGGATAATAAAACCAGGCAATATACTAAACTATTTATAGATTTTGATAAAAGTAAATTAACGCATTAGACATAATATTGATTAGTAAAATTAAAAACAGAGTTATGTAACAAGCTATTTATAATAGATTGCCTTATTGAATATTTCTTGAATAATTCATCTTAATCTCACGGTTCCAATTTAACAAATATGATAAGTCCAAAAATGAAAGTAAGTTTTGTAAGCTATGATAATTTTGGTTACATGAATTGTTTTAAATAATTTTAGAATTTAGTTTTCGCCTACACCTGTTACACAGGATGTTGCTCTTTATCCTACTAAAGTTCTCCTAAAAATCTCCACTTTTAAATTATACGAAGCTGGTCCCCCAAAATTTTTTGCTTGTTAAGTAAGTTCTACATGCAAAATATGCCTCTCATTACCATTTGCTTTCCTCAGCGTCCTCGTAAAAAAGTAAGCTTTATTTAATTTCGTTAAGTGATACCATGGGAATATAATTATCAAAATCTGAAAGCTTATCATAAGAGATTTAATTCTTAAAAAACTGGAGCAATGTCTTTGAGATTAACAGTCCAAGATATAACTAGCACCTCCTTTGAGTAACAATATACGAAAGGTGAAAAAATGAAATTTATATAGATTTGTAAAGTTCCATCTTGGAATTAATTTTTTGATAGTACCAAATTTAAAACTGATATATGCATGGAATGTGTAACTGAAGGGAATTTGATATAGTAGCAGATCAAGTTAAATTCATCAGCTTAAACGGAATACTTTGTGGAGTCACAAGGTTATTTTTGAAGCAAAAGCGATGAAAAATGCAATTAAAATATTAATGCAATTAAAATATTAATTAATGCAATTAAAATATTAAAAAAAATACCAATGCAATTAAAATATTACAAATTCTTAGCAAGCAACAGGAAAATAATTTTTTAAATTCTATTTATTATTACTTTTAACACCTGAAACAGTTGTTAGTTTCAAAATACTTCTAATATTCTTTTTAATAAAATAATAGATGTGGCCAATTCACGCGAGATAATGAATTTCAATATCTCCAAAACCGCCTTTCTCTAATCTTGCCAAATTGCCAAATTGTAGAATGATGCAATATGTAAATAGCTTTATTATAATTTGGAATTTTTTACGAAGGTAATTTGGAATGTAGCAAGATGTAAACAGTTTTAAAATAAATAAAATAAAGGATACACTCTCAGCGTCAATCTGTTACACAGATTATTAGAATAAGTAAAGGAGGATCAACGGCAGCTCAAAGTTTCTTCACTGCCGGCGAAATGAGCTCCATTACACTGGTTAGGTGGAGAATTACTAAATAGTTTTTATTCTTTGTTGGTCAATGATGAAATATACAAAATAATAATAGAAAAAATTAAGAGTGTACATAACGATAGTTTGTAAGTATGAAATATTATCTAATTCGCGCCTACGTAATGAGATAAAAGCTTCAAACGTTTACACATCTAGCTCTTTTTAAAATTAAATTTAATAGAAATAAAATAGATTTATTAGGTGGCATCAGCTAGTGTTTTTTTTACATATGAAAGGAAGTACGTAGTTTTGATTTAACATACCAAATTTTGTTTGGCAAAACAAAGTATGTAAACAAGTTCATGACTCTGCAGCTGACGAAAGAAAAGGACAAACGTAAACTAAAGGCAGTCCTTGGTAATCATTGTCACTGCACTAAATAAACAACCCCTCACGCAGTTGGCTGTCAGAGTGCTTCCATTCTCCAAAACGTTTTCTCCATTTAAAATATTAAAAAGCTATATATATATATATATATATATGCCTTGTTATATATATAGGGTAATGTTGTGTATTTCATACCCTGTACAGGCACAAACAGCAAAGTTTTCACCCTGTAAAGGTGTAAAAACAGGTACAAATGGAAGGCTCTATTAATAAAAAATAAAAATTTACAGTGAAATTCTATACAGTCCACTATCTTGGATAAAGTTAATAAAGTTTATGAGGACGAACTTAAATGACTTGGACAACCAGTATTTTAAGTAATATTCTCAATTAATACGACTTAGACAACCACTATTCTACTACCTACTTGTTAAGTCATACTATATTCAAAGTTAAACTATTCTAAACTCCCTTTTTCTCAATTTATTTATATAATTAATAACAACAACGAGCACAAAGATATTTTTTATTTTCTTGTCACCAACATATAAGTTGCGAACTCATCCTTCGCATTTTAGGCACTGAACCATATCCTCTTCGTGGTCTTCCTCACAAATATTACAGAGAGATGAACACGATGTGAAAATTTATAGTAGACTACGGTGTAACCCCTTTTACCAAAAGAGGCACAGGTAGAATGATATTAGCGTAATATTTAAAAGGCACGGTTAATTTACTACACATACATGTTTATTTGATGAAAAGAACTTGAAAACATTTGTGATAGTGTTCCTAGATTTATAAATATAGGAAAATTACTGCCAAAAAAACTAGAGGACTTATTTTATACAAAGGTCAGAAAATTGGGTTTTCACTATGAATTCCATCTTTTGTTACCCACCATTTCCCTGCGACCATTCTGAATTCTACGTAATTATGAGGTAATAAATGATTGTAGAAAATTGTGGAGATTAATTAAGAAAAATATCACTCTAATAACGAAATCATTTCGAATCGTCTTCCTAACGAGATAGAAATTTGTAACTTGGCTGAATAGATTTAGCACGAAAGGTTTGATCAAGGTCAGTAGGCAAACAAGGTTAAGCTCGTCCCAACGTCCGGACTCAGTGACGTGATTTGAATTACAGAAGTGAATAAGCGAAGATACAATTTCCTTTAGCTCCCCAAGAAAACATTTACTACAGGTGAAGAACTAATGAAACAATATATTGTGAACTTTGAAGCAGATATATACTTATACGGATTCTAAGAGAGACGAATTTAAAGAATTAATGTAAATGAAAGAGTACAAAGCAAAAGGACTCTAAAATGATTTGCAGAATTGCCTTTCATAGTTATGCAATTTTCTAGAACATGCAGTATTTCCTTCTGCGTCTCTACGTACTGATTCATGTACGAGATTTTCAAAAATGTTTTCCAAAAACTAGAGTGATAGACTAATGGACCACAATCCGTCACTGTCTTTTTCTGAACTTAACGTTGTTTCCCATCTAATATCTTATGACTAAGTTTTATTGAAATCATCCTTATGAATGTTACGCTGAAAGAACACAATAATACAACGTGTTTCGGCACCAGTCCTATTTCACCAGTCCTACCACCAGTCCAGTTCTATGCTTCTACATGGAACAAGCATTCAT